TCTATATTCAGCAAAATCGAACATTTTAGTCAACAAAATCAAACTAGATTTTGAGTCATAGCGATCGAACCAATCATGGTTTACAAATTCAACAATCAACAAAGCTAGCAAGCTAACAAGATCATAGTTTACAGATTCAACAATCAACAAATTGAACATATTATTCAACAACCTTTGTCTGACAAAATTGCAAAAGATGAAGAATTGAGTATATTCAAAAATAAGAAAAGAAACCCAAAGGAGAAGGAAACCAAATCAACAAAGGAGGATCAAAGTAGATCTAGGTTGGGGATTCTTGGATTGCGAAGACATGAACTTGAATGAGTTTGAACTAGATTTGAGGCATGATGGCTGAGCGAGTGTTGTACTTCTCTATGAGAGAAGCCTTACCCAATATGATGATGCCAGCTCACCATAGTTTCGCAACCACATGGGACCTTCAAACCCCATAACACCAATGACCTTGCGCTCTTGACCTTCAAACCTAGCAATGTGAACAACCTTGTGCTCTCAACCTTTGAACCCAATAACACAAACAACTATCAAATCCTTCCTCTCTCGATCAGCTTCTTCCTCTGCTTGAGCTCTCATGTCAAGTTCACTTCTAGTACGTTGTGACGCTGGAGCAATGGTGACTTTGCTAGAGGATGGTGAGTGATGATGAGCAAGGAGATGGAGATGAAGTTTGAAGGAGCTTGAAGACTGAAGGAGAATGAGAAGGATATAGAAGCAAAAGGAGATGAAAGTTCATATTCGGTCAAATTCCCTTTTTGTGCTTCTATTTTTCAATCAACAAGTCAACTAAATCTAGGTGGCATGACAAGTGAAATTTTTCAGTCAAACTTCAATCCTAGTTAGCATTATCCAATGGTCAACATTAGGTATTTAATGTGAGGGTAATAGATGCTCCGAATAAATTACTTAAGGGGTGAAAGTGCTACATGAAATACCTTAGGATATTGGCCATAGGTGCTCCTTGGAGAAAATGTTAAGGGAAAAAATGCACTTTTACCTATTAAATAATGTTGAAAAATTAGTAAAAAATCGTCTAGATTCCAAATATAATCCTCAGCCTTACAGGTTACACGCTTTATAACAAATTGAGAGGAAATATAGAGATTTAATTTGAAAGCATTATGCGGACTAACATATTTAGCATATTCAACTATAGAAGTGAACTAACTTTTTATCCTTATTTAATTTATTCGTATATTTTGCTTAACAAGGAATTAACTTTAAATATCCGACAACAATGAATTAAATTTTGGACCAACTTTGAGTCCTATATATTCATCTACTTACCCACACAAAACAAAGATCGACATCAAAAATTATATTAAACTTGATCACTGTATTGTTGTTCTCAGTCATTGTAGAAATGGCAAAGATTTCATTCAAACCTATCTTCTTCCTTCTTGTCATTGTCATCTTAGGTGAATTCATCAACAACTCTTCGTTGATATTCAAATTCTAATATTTATGAAAATTTTGGCGGCTTCAGCATGTGTGTGTTAACGTATGTATGCACACAGATATAGATGCATGCATGTGTAGACATAAAAGAAAAACATAACTATTAGTCTCTATAATTTTAACATGTTTTGATATAGGTCCTCGTAGTTTTTTATGGCTCCAAGTCCTTCTAGTTTACCCTATCTGCAATATTAGTTTTTCTATTTTTGAATATGCTTGAAAAGTCGATGAAAAGACACTAACAGTATTAAATATGTTGACCTATGACTAACATTGTTAATTTGTGCTAAGGTAAAATTATGATTCAACAGATTAACAGTGTTGTCCATCCCATTCTGTTTCATATGTCATGTTTGAATCTACTGAATTATAATCTCACCTCAACACAAAGATTAAGGGCATTAGTCATAGGTTAGCATATTTAACATTGTAAATGCCCCTTATTCAGTGGTGGAGATAGAAGGACCAGGAGGAGCCACCACACCCCCTAATTTTTTTTTTAAAAATTCTTAGTCAAATATAAGGAAGTTATATATTTTCAACCCTCCTAAGTTAGCACATTAAGCTCGGAGACTCTACGAGAGTTCTCATTTTAATTCTACATGTAATCTTTTACATATATATAATGCGATTGCTTCAATTCTTAAAAATATAACTATGATATATTTTACATTCAATGATGAAAGAAATTGTAATAATTATTATTAACAAACTTTTTCAAGCATTGCAACAAAAAATACCAAGATATATTGAATATTGTGTACTTGATATCTATCATAAAATCTCTTATTCAAAAGTTAAGAGATTATGGTTAAGATATTCTTCTGGAAACAATGTATTTTTTTAATAATCAAGTTATAAAATTCATTTTAAGAATGGTTTTTACTATGATATAATTTGATCTTATTGATATAAAGATTTTGTAAAAATTGAGCATAATTACTGTGTTGATATATTTATTATTGTCGTCAATTGACAATAGAAAGAATTAAATAGTAAATTCAATGAACAAGCAATAGAGTTTCTTAAATTGAACATCATTCAATGCTTAAAAGGAAGAAGAATTTTTCATCCATTTAATGATAGTTTATGTTAAAAAGAAAATTGCTAAAAAAATTATCATAAAAATGATAATTGGTGATTTTTATGACATAAAAAATTAATGAACAAAATTTAAAAATAAAAGTACATATATATTTATAAAATTGAATATATATATATATATATATGTATATGTTGAAATATTTATATTATACTATTAATAAATTTAAAAATTTACTTTCCTTTGATTATCTTATATACTTTATCATCTCAGCCTTCTTAATTAAACTTTTTGGCTCCGCCCCTATCCTTATGGTATAAATACTCAACTTGGAATGCCTATAAGAGCGGTCTGCCATAGAAGTGCTCCCTGAGGCCACCCTTACCCACTACAGGAGCACTTCCATATTTTTTTTTTTAGTTGCATCAATCAAGGCTCTAATGCTATTGTGCACCAAAAAAAAAACATAATCAATAAATATCAATATAAAATATCAAAAATATATAAAGTTATACTATTTACAAGTTGTTAACGGTATCTGTCATTCATTATTTCTTTATCTTATTTTTTTTTCTTGGTTTTTTGGGTCCATGATTGAATAATTCATGATATTAGGTTATATTCATATATATATATATATATATTAAATATGTTTGAAGGTAGTCTACTTTGGCAACGAGATCATGTGAAGCTGCGAGATGCGTAAAGGTTTTGGATGCGAATCAGTGCCTTCTTGCGAAGTACCAAGAAGATTGCTTTAACCTCAAAGGAGAACAAGGAGGTCGTGGAATATGCATAGAAATTGGAAACAACTCATCAAGACATTATCAATGTCAATGCATCTATAATTGTTGAAGTCTCTATTATTCTCTTATTTTTACTACAAACTATCGCTCAATAGTTAATATGATATTTATATGTGTTCTGTTTCTGAACACACTTTCATGTACGTTCATAATTGAGTAATAACAAATAAAGGTTGTGACTGTGTGTGTTTAATCTCTTTTCACCATGTTATGTGTCGTTTAAGAAATTTGATTAATTAATTAATTAATTTTTTTTTGTTGATTTAGATAGCAATTCTGACTAAAAGAAAAGTAAAAGGATCGCTTTCAGAATTTATGATACAAATCTTTCGCATTTAGCTTTGGTTTGGTTTGATAGAAATTAGTAGTTGCTACTTGCTTGTCATTCTTGTTTTGGATCCTTTTACTTTTCTTGTTTAAGTTATATATTGCCATAAGTATAAATTAACTAATGTATCATAATTAACACATGCACCCTTCATATCCTCGATTAATATAATCTGACACATTATTGTTTTTTTATTTGATATCATAACTAATGTATCATCTGATACTTTTATCCCATGTCCATGTTGCTGTCAATGTGGTCATATATGTATGTGATTTGTTGTAAGTATCTCTATGAGTAATCTTTGAAATTTGAGGTATACTTTGCTTAAGTCTCTAAGACTCAACTCACCTAAATTTTTTATTTAAAAAATTATGATTAATTTTTTAGAAGAAATTGGAACATTAAATTAAAAATAGACCAAAGAAGTTGAAATAAAAGACTTGGGGAAATCTAACAAACTTGGTAAGAATTGGAAGTTGCACTAAAAAGGTATCCTATCCTAATATTCTTTCAAAAATGTGTATTACTAAAATGTAAGCTTGTGTGCTGCACGAGTTGAAAAAATGACAAGAATTATTTATAATATATCAATATATCACAACTACATCATAATATAAATTATATATATAAATAAAGCTAAATTATACATTGTTCTCCTGAACTTTGAATTATGTATACATAACCTCCTTAACCTTTGAGATTTTACAATGAACCCCTCTCAACTCTTATATTTAAGTAAATAACTCTATATGATTAATTTTATACATTAATTATCTATACATAACTTAAAGTTTAGGGGTTATCCGTATATCAATCAAAGTTTGAGGGCTTAAATGCATACAAAAATAAAGTTTAAGAGAATATATAATTAATGGCTAAAAATTATTTGCATAAACTTGAAAACTCAATGAGGTTTATTATTAAATTTTAAAAGTTAAAGAGGTTATTTGTATATGCATGGTTCATAGTTTAGGGGGATTGTGTGTAATTTAGTTTATAAATAAAAAAGAACTTAAATAATAATAAACAAACAAAAAGAAAGAGCGAAAGACTGAGATTGGTAAAAGAAGCAGACAAATTGGTTTTCGACCAAAAAATAAGAAGTGTAAATAAAATCATACTTTTTTATGTTAAAACAACTTCACCACTAGGTCCGGACATGGAAAATATATTTCTCATTCAAGGAGTACTATGAAAGCCCAATGGAGCAATAGATGGGCCTAAGTCCAACTTGACTTAATAGTTACTGAAACAGGAGATGCCGCAGGCTTGGGAGCATACTGAAGAAGCTGGAACGAAGCCGGGTGAAAAAATCTGGAGAGTCTTGGAGTTAGCTTCCAAGGTGAGATTCTGAGTTTTCGCATGCTTATTTTGATTCCCTATTTCCGTTACAAATGTAGCTGAAGTAAGAAGGACGAGGGAGTAAAGATGGTCTGAATTGGGAATTCAGCTTATGGTCTTTTGTGGATTTTGGTTGTCGCATCTATGCAGAGTAGGTATATCGTCCCCTTCCTCATTCATCTTGATAGAACTGTGATTTGGAGGAACCGATTTCGTAATGATCTTCGTAAAGTGTTAATATCGTTTTAACTTCAATATTCTAGTATGATTTAACCTCAATGGGTTCCAAAACTTAATCCCGAGTGTGCTGCTGCACAAAGTTCTGGGCTTGCTGTGCAATTGCTTGTAACATGTTCTAATTGGATCCTTCTATGAAAAATCATGAGTTCAAAGTGATGCTTATATTTCTATGGTTCATATGATTTTACCTTGCCTTTCGAATAAACTTTACACCAAACTGCCGAGCAAATGTTTGTCTGATAGTTCGTAATATAATAATTTTTTGCTTTCTAGTTGACCTTGTGGCAGCTTCCTATGTCAATGCTTACTAACACTGTTGACTGTTGCTATTGCTGCTGCTAATAGAGTTAGAGATTGCTTCCGCTCCTTTTATTTTATTTTTCTAAAGACTTTTAGGGGTTTCAGATTTCTCATTCTTGAAAACCTAGCTGTGAGTTTCCCATAGACTTGCCTTCCATACTATATTCTTGAATTAACTGAGCATTGGTGGTGACGGTGACTATGATTAGAGCATTAGTGAGCTTAGTACTTAACAGTTTATTTCTTTCTTTGTTCCTAAATAAAACATACCCTTTAACAGTGGTTTGATTCAATAGTTGGTATGCATGCCTTGCATAAACCTTAATCTTGTGTTAAGGCTTATTTCCCAAATAAAGCATGTCCATCTTAAGCTTGAGGAAATGATCCTTTGTCTCTGGCTTTGCATGTGACAATTGTTCTTGCTGTCAAAGATTTAATTCTGGTTTTGCTTTGATAAAATGAACCATTGGCCTTAGCTTTGCATGAGAAAAACTTGTTTTAGTGGCAGTAAATGTGTAGGTACTGTTTAAATTCTAAAATGTTTCATATTTATATATTTTATGCATCTGTGATTGATTTTAGTTTCTGTATAGGCAGATTCTGTTTTGGGTTATTAAATTAGGTAACGGGAGTGATTGTATTACTTACAATCTCCATTTACTTATATATACAATTGGCATTGGAGTATCCTTTCACGCTCAAGCTGTTTCCTTGATAGCGTAGCTCAATGTCCATGATTTCATTTAGGTATCGTAGTTCTTTTCACTGCTTCCTAGTGCTTATATCCTGGGTTGGGATGGAAATGGCTTACAAGTTTAACCACATAATGTATATTCAACTGTGTACATCAAACTACCAACTACACTTGAGTATGAGACTTTTTTCATGTGTTTTATGTCAAAATTCCTTTGTAGTTCGCATGTTTTTACTCAGGTTATATGGCCTTTGATTACAAGGTGTCTATGAATTTATAGTCTTTCATGTTAAAATGCTTAAGGATTTTACTTATGTGGGTCTTTTGTGACAAACAATAGCCTCTTTGAGTGATTTCTATTTATCTTGATCCCAAGATATATTTTGTTTCCCTCATGTCCTTCGTTTCAAAGTTCAAATATAACCAGTCTTTGATCGTTGTAACTACCTTAAAGTTGTTTACATAGAGACATTTCTTGTTTAGGCATGGTTCCTAGCTTCCTCTCTTGCTAGTTTGATCATTTGATTTTGACCAATGTATCATAATCTAGTATGCCATGTATCAAAATTTAAATTTGATGAACTTAAAATAAGAAAGCAAGAACATGAATTCAAATCATAATTATACAATAAAAGAAAGAAACAGTCTTAAATAAAACCAAAACCAAGGAAATCAGTCCCATCGCAAATGTCTGTGACATTATTGTGAATATTAACATTAATATGACACTTTACTAAAGAAGTAACAATTACATGATTTTGTTGGATATCTAGAGTGTGCAGCACATCATGTAGTGCTGGGTTTTGTCCTTTTGGCAATGTCAACTTGCGGATTCCAATCCCTTAAATGATTATATATTAATAAAGATATATTTTGAAATATTGTAGTTTGACTTGGTGGTATTGTGCTCTCCAGCTAAGGAGGCTGTTTTCCTTGTGTTAAGTTTGGTAAGAGATAACCATGTTTAATTTTTACCTTGTATATCTAATGAATTGGTTTGAGTATTTTCTATATTTTAATAATATTGGGATGTGTGTGTGTGTAGCTAAGCATAACAATCTGTACTTGGATAAGTGGATTATTTTGTGAAATGACTTGTTGAGAATTTTGTTGATTGATAATGATATGGTGTTTTAAACTAAGAATATTTTATGTATTTTTGTAAGGAACTAATAAATGTTAATTTTTGAAATGCAATGGATATATGTCGTGAACTGTTGTATGGGATGGCGTTGTATGAATTGTTGGGTTTATTGTGTAATGGTTTAGTTCTTTTTTTACCATGTGGTATACTGGTATGCCAATACTAGGCACCCTGTTGTTGGTTATTCTTAAGGCCCTTAGTATTTCCTTTCCTTAACTAGAATTAGAGGGAGCCCTTGAGACATATGGTACATCTTTAAGGAGTGTTAATGAAAGGAAATACATGGACCGATGATGAGCTCTGTGCCTTTGACCAGGCTGTATTTTACCATTAGTGAGTTTAAAGATATCTAGTCACATGGATGTGTCCGATTTAATTATAGTAATCAATAGAATTGGTCGTAGGTAATAAGGAGGATATAAGAAAGGATTTGTGTTATTGTGTTTGATTTATGATTATTGAGATTGAAAGATGGTATCTGTGTGAGATATGAAACCATTAATTTCACTTAATTAACTCTAAATCAACCTTGTATGTTTGTAGAAATTGAACTGTGGTTACTGGCCCATGTGTCTCATTATATAATTTTAATAATTTTAGGTGAGGTTTCTTTTGTAGCAAAGGGGAAGCACGGAGCTTGATTTGAATACCCTCTAATTTCCACTTGTGTTAAAATTTTATATTTCCAGATTAGAGCCCCCTTGTATTTCATTACTTTTGATTTATGTTTATATAATTGTTTACTGCTAGGAGTGCTGTTAGTTGTGGCCTATGATGCTATTGCATGTGACTATGTATGAGAAGCTATTTTGATGGCTTTGTTTAGATGTATGTATGTGGGATATTTTTAGCAATTGGATTATTTGAAGTATGTTGAGATTATTGGGCTTTTGAAAGACATGAATGTCTTGAGCTTTAAATATGCCCTAACCTGCTAAATTTGATTTAGTTATAGTTTGATATATAATGAGGATTTATCATATTTATTTTTATCTAATCATGGTAGACTCTTCTATCATGGTAGGGATTTTGCATTGTTTCAAGTTATTTGTTCAATTCATAATAATCTTGGTCATAGTTTAATCTTTTCTATCGAGGTTAGTCTGGTTTATAACTGTATTTATGTTGCTTTTATAAGGATGATTGACTTTTTAGTATATTTTTGTTCTTATTTACCATGGATGTTGACTTGTTAATTGGTTCAATTTTTTTTATCATGGTAGTTATTTTTATTTGTTTGTTTTTTTATTATCATAGTAATGTTGTTTAAAGTGTGTTTTGGAAATTAGGTGTTGCAATTTGGAAATTAGTTTGTTTTTATCGGATAAAAGGTGATTTGGAAAAGAAGGTGTTATATTTTGATATCAAAGCCCTCACATTTGAGGTTGTGGTTTTTTGTTACATCATTCATTAGATATACTAGAAATATGCAATGTTTGCACAATTACTTCTCCTTAAACTATTTAGATAGCTGGGTTGTGTGGTTAGTATATTGGTAGGTTTCACCCTTTTTTGGTTGACTTGTATCTTTAGGAGAGAAGATGGTGAACACACGCCGTACTCAACTACAAATAACCATCTACCTCAGGACAACGATGCTCTCTTGAGTGAGATAAGGGATATGATTTTAAGAATGAAAGAGAAAGTGGAACAACATGAGGAGTTGAATCGAATAAGAGGACTGGGTAATCAAGATAATATCCTTGAGAATGACGGACTTCCTAGTGACAATCAATCAAAGGTAGGTCACTATATGGAGGACCAATCAACTGGTAAAGGTTCTTCACAACAGCAGCAGCTTACCGTATCCAACATGTCAGTATGGAGGATCTTTAGGACGTTCAACCCGCCTACCTTTGATGGTTCCTTTAAGTCATCAGTAGGGAAGGCGTGGATTGATCGATTAGAAACAATTTTCACTGTGGTTTAGTCTACTTCACAACAAAAGGTAATGACGGCAGTGTTATTAACTTATTATTAGAAGGAAGTGCAATGGATTGGTAGAGTGGTGTAAGTCCCATTCATAGGTCATGGATTTCTTGGAAGGAGTTTAAAGCCAAATTCTCCCAATTCTTCCCTACTGAATTGTTGCAATATGAAAAAGAGGGCGAATTTCATGACTTTAAACAAGGCAATCTTGATGAGGAAGGGATTGAGAATGAACGATGGCAATAGTCTCACGGCAGATTCTCTTCTTTCACGGGTCCTTTTGGAGGTATTAGCAAAAAAAAAAAAAAAAAAACAGTTACCATTTTGGGATCCCAGGGAGCTCAAGGCAGAGAAGGGGTAACTGGGCAGAGAGTTTGTTTCAAATGTGGCAAGGTAGGTCACATACCTCGTTTTTGTATGGAAGGGCAGTAAGGTACATTAGAGGCTTGCTTCACCATTCTTGGCAGAGGATTCGCCACAACTCAAGAGGGGTTGGAGCATCTCTGGATCATATACGACCATATGATCACATTTCAAGGCTCAAAAACTCTGCTATGTTTGACTCAAGAGGGGAGTTTAGATTTGTAAACTTCGTATTTTTGGTTGAGTGTATCCTCAGACAAAGATTCCATCTAGTGAGATAAGAATTGGAGGCATCAAAAAGGGTAAGGATTATGCATAAATTGTTTGTTTATTTTAATGATTTAATTATTTCTTTATTCTGAGAAACTGTATTTCCACTATTCTAAGTTGCAAAACATATTGTGAAAGATGTGTATATGTACATATATCTATGGTTTGTAGAACAACTTATTGATTGGTTTGCTAGTATACATTAGAATATTCTTATATTAGTGAGATGTAAGATCTTATTTATTTCTTATAATTTTCAAGTGAGGGTTGTAGTAGGTCACAAGGGAAGGTGCTGAAGAATTGAGTAGTTGTGGCTCTTTTTAGGTCACAAGGGAATGCACTTGAGCACAGCGTGCTCATCAACCTACAAAGGTGATTTGAGCCTTTTATTTCTTTTTAAATGATGGCTGCCGTTGATTCAAAATTATTTTTAAATATTTCTAATTATAAAAAAGTATAATATTAAATGTGAACTATTTTTTATGCTTATTCGAGGATAAATATCATGTTACTTATCACCCTTAATAAGATTTGGATAGTTTGAATTTAATCTTTTTATCTTTATTTTAACTTTATTAAAATAAAAATATGTAAAAAAATATACAAATCTTTAATAAATCTCTTTATCATCAATTTTGACCAATACAAATTTAATTTAAATAACTCAATTTAATATTAATTTTTTAATAATTTTTAAAAATTGATTATTGGAAAAATGACAATAAATTTTTAAATATATAAATGATAATTTAATCTCTTAAAATGTTATAATTCTCTTTAAAGTCTTTAAAGATTTTTCAGTCATTAATTGATTTATATAAATTATCAAATTGTCTTTATTGAAAATAAATGATTCACAAGTTTTGTTTTAATATTTACAACTTTTCTTTGCATATTCGCAACAATATAATAGTAAATTACAACTTCATATGTTAATTTTTTATTTATTATTACATTATTGTGAATATAAGAAAAAAATTGTAAATATTTAAATAAAACTTGTGAATTATTTATTTTCAACAAAGGCAATTTGATAATTTATATAAATTTATTAATAACAAAAAAATCTCTAGAAATTTGAGGGGAATTATGACATGTTTAGGGACCAAATTATCATTTATATATTTTAAAAGAATTTTATTGTCATTTTCCCTTGATTATTTAGATGTACTTTGAATAATATGGATATAATCTAGAATTTTTAATTTAATACTAAATTTTTTATAATTTTAACTAATTGATCATTTGGATGTACTTTGGAAAATTCAAATTTAATATTATAATTTTTATTTTGATTAATATAATATAAAAATATTTTAAAAAATAATTTTTAATTAATGGTAGGGATCATTTGAGGAATAATGAAAGGCCCAGTTCACACTGCAAGAGTGATGAGCATGGTGCTTATCAGCAGAATGCAGAAGAAGATGATGATGATGATGATGATGATGATGATGATGATGATGATATCTATTTGATTTGAGAGTGATTTCCTATTCTCCCCTTTTGCTTTGTACTTGATTGATTTCATGGACTTGGGATTTTAATGGTTATTTACATGTTTGTTTTCTAAATCCCTTGTTAGGATCGGAGTAGTGTGTCTAGGGTGTTTCTAATCTTTTCTTGCGTTATATTTTATTCAAGTTGATTTGTTGTTTTGCAACTCTTTTGGAGTATTTTATCACTTTTACTTTTTTTTTTGTTCCTTGTGTATATATGGCCAATATATTTTGTATCTATGAGGTTGCTTGAAATAGTGGAAGGAGAAGAGTGAGCCTAAATCTAGAAAAGTAATCATAAACAATTAAATTATGAATAATTTAGGGGTAACCATAGCTTAATGATTAGTTAGAGGGTTGGAATTAGTGGAAACTAATTTAACTTTAATTAAATATAACTTAATATATTCTTGGGCTTTGGGCCCCATTTTGTACCAAAAAAAAAACAACTTAATTAGGTAATCAAGTCACTTTCATAGCAATTGCCGCTTTAATTGAGCAGAACATTTGGATCGGTGAACCCTTTAACAAATTTACTGATGTGATTTTTAAAATCCATAAGTAATTTTATTATATATATATAACAGCATTTAATGGTTGGGATAAATTAAAACCTGTTATTATTGCTGCTATTGGGATAAATAAGGCAAATTTTTAGTACATAGAAATATTGAAATAATTATTTTGCATATAGCGTAGATATGATATGAGTCAATAACAAGTTAATGTACATTTGAGATTGAACTATTTTCATAGAAGCACCCACTGTTCTAACTAAATTTTTTGTCATAGCAATATCTCCCTTGAAATATAATTAAGTTGTAACAATATTGCTCCTAAAATTAAACGGGCTAACGTTGACTGTTAACTTATTTAGAAATAAGTTTGATTCAAATCATAGCAACATTGCCCTTGAAATAATTGAATCATACCAATTTTGCCTTTGAAGCAATTGAATGTAGCAATGTCATCCCCAATGTCAAGTATGAGTTAGCAAAGTTAAAAGTCAATGTTTATCCGTTTAATATTAAGAACAACATTGTTATAATTTAATTATTTTAAAAACAAAATTGCCATGATAAAGAATTTAGGACACTGAATGCTCTTACAAAAATAATTCAGAGGTAAAAAATAAACCTTAACCCTTAATAATATGAAGATTGAAACAGTCTAACTGCAGCTTTTTTTTTTTCTAGGTGTTATTGTCATAAAATTACTTATGGACTTTAAAAATCACATTAGTAAATTTTAATATATCACATTAGTTGTTCAAATGGAATAATTGAGTTGTATACGATTCATTCATGAAGACAGGGTAATTTTCTTCAATTGATGATGACAGGCGACTTGAGCAGCACTTCATCGTGGACGCGTGAAGTTGGGTCCTATCGAGTAGGTAATTAAGTCATTCTCCTTCAAAATTAATTTCCTTCTCAAACTTATTTTTGACTACTTAGGTTCCGTTTCAGGGAAAAACTTTTAAGAATTATTGTCTAATGTTGAGATTTAATGATAAAATTAGATTTAGTAAAGATGTGTAACTGATGTCTAGAGAAATTTTTTATTAAATCTAATCACCAAGTATGGACGGTCTAGATTTAATTTAGATTTTCCAAATTCAATACTAATATGTTTTGTAATTTTGATATGAAATATGTACTATCCAGAATATATTTAGATAGTCAATTTATAAAAAGTATTAAATTTAAATCACCTGTATTAAATCTAGACTTTTCAAATTAATAATGAAACATATTTATTAAAATTTTTATATATTTTTATGATTTTTATAATAAATATAAAAAATAAAGAAGAATGGTATAAAAGGAATTTGGTTGAGTTATTTACAAAGTTTGAAAGTATGCTAGTTTTAATTACTTTAGGATGAAATTTTTATAACAAATAGTTTAGATTAATGGGTTGTTTTTGGAAAATAGTTCAAGAGTAAAAATACATCTTAAGTCGGATCGACCTGATACTTAATGTCAGAAAAAATATGCCACATTTTAATTATTTTAAAAGTTAAATTTATATGACAAATAATTTAAGACACTAGATGCTCTTTAAAAAATAATTCAGGGGCCAAAGTACACCTTAAACCTTATAAAAATTATACTTATCATAAATTTTATATTGTAATAATAACTTTATAGTTTTTTTTTGGATAAATTGATCTACTAGCCCAAAAAAAATCTTATATCCAAAAATATGGACCAAATTTTTTAAATTTAGGTGTGGCTAGTTCACATTGATATACAAAAAGTTTATCATTAAAAATTTATAAGAGATTTATCATTGATATACAATAATATATCATTGATAAATATAATAAATTTATCATAGTGTAAAATATAATAAATATCATGCTACTTGCTTAATTTGATCTTGAGCTTTATCTACAAAGAGTTTCTTTTTCTTTTTCTTTTTCTTTTTGCATTACTATATTGACACAAGCAAAGTTTGAAAGATTATTGACTACCTCGCAAGTAAGATGAATCTGTCAGGACTATAAGCTGATGCTCCATCATATTCAAACAAATTTATCACGACTCTCACGATGGCGACTTGGCCCAAAACTTTATTGTTTTTATTTTAATATGTGGCACAGATTTTAGATGACAATATTGCATACAGTGACGTAGAACAATAAAATCAGGTGTGATGCATGTGTACACCAGAATACTAGTTGAGGGGGAAAAAAGAGCCCGACAACATGTATATCCATCTTACGTTTGCAGCTATTTCATTAAACCAAACATGTGGATGCCTTTTGGGTAAGCCTCGTAACAGTGTTACCTACCCACTTGAAGATATTTATCATTCACTTTTTTTCTATTCTTGTGTGTTTATTTCTCGATCTCATCCACCTACATTCTTTGTTTTTTTATTAATATATTCTCCATATTTTTTATGAATATAAAATTCACATTGACGACAAATAAACAAAGAAGTTTGAAGTCCACAAACAATTATATACACATGGCAGCCCCATGTGGGTGGGGCAGACGTTCACTGACTCATTTAATCAAGGGTAATTTTAGTTAAAAAAATTAATACCTCATTAACTTATTTTTTCATTATAATTAAAAACGGCAACAACAAACATAAAATTTTCCCCTTGAGGTGAATGAACGGTATGGAGCAAATTATCCGATTACACACTCAAAAAATCGACTACTAGAGTCTATATTATAACTCATTTATAAGGTACAACAAATACACCTTACAAGTAAGGAAATTAGAAAAGGGAGAATGATAATTAAATCTTAAGGGATTGATTAATTTAAATTAAGTCCCAACTAACTTCAAAGTGCCAATAAAGTCCCTTGAACTTTCAGTGGGAAAATAAGCCTAACAGCTGGAGGGATTTATAAGTTCAACTTCCAAAATTTTCATATTTGTTGTTATGCATTTGCAACTTGCTTTCTAAATTCTAACAAGGAATACAAATAATCATCTTTAATATTAAAAAAATATTAAGTCTAATAACTCTAAGGATTTGTAAGTTTGGCTCTCAATTTTGTAACTTTTTGTTATTATGTTTTTGTAACTTGTTTTTAAAATTTTAATTAAAAAAATGTATTGATTTATACTATACTACAATTTTCTTAAACCATTTGAACTCTTGCATATTTTTGAAAATTTTTATTTATATCATTATAGACTAATTATTATTAATTGAGCTCTCTTGCTTTTATACAGTAAAGCTATTTTAAAAATGTAATGTTAAAAATAGTGAAAAAATTCAAATAATATATTTTTAGATATAAATGTATAAATTATTTTCTTAAAAGATGTCTC